AACAGATTTTGTGACAATTTAGTAATTTTAGATTTTTAGTTTGGGGCAGGGATTTAAATGGTTCCAAGAAAAAAAATGAAAACAACCTGAACAAACTCCGTTTTATAAGTAAGAAATAATTGAGGATGGCCCGTTGAATTATTAGAAAAATACACCTCGGTTGTGCATTATTTTTCTAATATTTCAACGACCTAGAGTCAACTATTCCACTTTTTCTACGGTTAACAAAAAATTTAAAAATTAACTTGTAGAGCTGTAATGGAGGCTTGAGCCATTGATATGCAGACTAATGCAGTTATTGGAGAGAGAGATTGATATATTGCTTAAGCGAATTACCTGAATCTGTGAGTCTCTCAACAGTAGCCTATTCGGCAGCAACCAATTTTGTTATAGGTTAGGGCCATGGTGGGCCACCCAATTTGGTCTCACAGTGATCTCTCACCATGAGCTCACTGGATACTCGTGATGTGGTCACATTGTGAGGTCACAGTGACCTAAAAGTGTTACCTCGTCACCACGTCCTCACTGTGTGCTTATACTATGGTCACAATGTGAGGTCAAAGTGCACACAAAGACTGCACCCAATATGCATTGCAGCAGTGGCGTGCACAGACCTCCTCAGGGGCGGGGCGGAGGGACCAAAAAGGGCACTAATTTTTTTTTATATTTAATTTAACAGTACCTGCATTTTTATTCTCTCTATTCAGCCAACTTGTGAGAGGGATGCTTCCTTTGGCTGCATCATAGAGTTCCTTGATTTTTTTATTTTATTCTTTCTTTCCTTGGCATTCTAAGAAAATATGTTTTTACAATTATTAGAATGCATAACACATCAAATGAAAATAGGGAAATTATGATAATATTACTAAATATTATTTACTTTACCAAACAAAACAGTGAGAATCAAGAAGGTAAAATTAATAATTTTATGGAAAACTAATTTTTAGTTTTGTTGATGTTGTAAACTTAATGTATGTATTATATGTATGAAAGACAGTGTTAGCTATCATGAATCAGTAACCCTTTTACAGTAAGGTTTCATTAGTTAAATTAGTTAGCATTAGCTAATAATGAACTGCACTTCTACAGCATTTATTAATCTTAGTTAATATTAATTTCAGCATTTACTAAAACATTAAAATCAAAAGTTGTATTTGTTATCATTAGTTAATGCACTGACTGTGACATAAAATGAATAAACAATTAACAGTTGTATTATTAACTAAGATACAGTAACAAATGTGTTGCTCGTGGTTAGTTCATGCTAGTTCATGGGTAATGAACAAATGAACCTTATTGTAAAGCGTTACTATGAAATCAAAGATATAAGTTCCTTACAATTTAGAGTTGGACATTGACTTAAGATTTCATTTAACTAGATGTATTTCCCCTTGCACTTTTATTCCTTGGATAAAAACGAAAAACATTGTCACTCAGAATGCGTCTGAAATCGAGTTATACTTTTATTATAGTTAAGAATAACTCGCTTGCTGCCGCAACTTTTGGAGTAGCATGGTGATCGTAGGATAAATTTAATTTTCCGTATTAGCTTTAACGTTACCTGCTGCTCGTTTGAAGACTCGCGCGAACTGCTGCGTAGTGCGTAGCTACCAGAACCGTTAAATGCCTTTCTTTTACTGTCTATGTTAAATGCGTACGAGGCGCTGCAAAGGAAACTCCGCCTACCACTTCTCCGCCAAAAAAATTTTTATATAATATTTGTTTGTATTATTATTGTTAGTGGCAAGGGTGTGTAAGTGTATTGTTATTTATTATAATATTTATAATAATTATTAATATTATTTACAATGATCAGAAAAGGGCACAATACATTTTGAGACAAAAGGGGCAGGGGCTTTTTTTCTTAGTGTGGAAAACATTTTAATAATCATAAGAACCTTTTTCTACAAAATAAGCTTTTGTGCAATGGAAAGGTTCCATTAATGTTCAAGCATCTACGTGGAATTATGCCAATAAAGAACCTTTATTTTAAGACTGACAGTGTACTGATAACACTATTCTTATTTTACAGTTTGCACTGCTTTCGCAATAGTTGTAGGCCTACAGTTTTTGCAATGCCTATTAATTGAATTTAGAAAACTAGAAAGGTAAGGCAGCTATTGTTAAATGTCTGGCTTTGTGTGTGAACAATGGCATGTGTGTTATTTAAATGCAGTGCATTACTTGGTAGATTGCTGCTTGCCACCCTTCTCGTGTTCAAACTTGACACCATCAAAGTACTAGGCCTATCTCCCATGTTAATAGTAAAAAAAAACCAATGCAGCCTATTTTTCGGTTAATAGTGTAATGAAGTACATCGCTCTTGAAAAGAAAACATAAAGCAGTAGCATGCAGGCCTATTGAAGTAGCCAACGTTTGTTCCACGTCTGCATTGAGAATTGGCTTTGTATTGGACAATGTAGGCTACTCACTCAAATGAAATGTGCATAATAATGAGGACATCTACTGGCCTACAGGTGTCGGTGCTGCAGATATTATTATTGTGGCTTTCATAGTGCTCGCTTCATCATAGAACACACTAAATACAATGTAAACTTATTATATCCCGATTTTTTTTTATTTCAACCGCCAAGACTAATAGCCTAAGCTTGTTTCCGCCACTGAATAAAACAATTTAAAAGATAGGCCTAGGCTAAGTGCAATTTTTATCTCACAATTCTAACTTTTTTCTCGCAACTGCGAGTGTAAATTTCTCAATTCTGACTAAGAACTATTTGCATGTGTTGGTAACGCTTTAGATTACAGCCCGGAAAGTACTGTGTAATTAAGAGGAATTTACAGAGTAACTTTCGGTAATTATAGTGTACCTATAAAGTACTTGCATGTAAGTATAAGGGAACAATATGTAAAGTTTGGGGAATAAAGGGGTAACAACCAGGAGAATTAAAAAAATATTTATACTGTAAGTATTATAGAACTAAGGGTAACTTATTCTACTATTATGATACAACAATCTTACATTTGGGAGCAATTTAGCGAAAACATACACATTGCTTACCTTTTTGTAATAATTGTATACCAATACATACTGTATAGGCTTTTTTTTAATTACAGGGTACATATCTATGCATTTATACTTTTATTTATTTATTTTATGATAGTAAAAGTGCAGATGTTTAAGTTGGGCTAACATGTTTCAAGGCAAGAAAAGCTAAGACTATTGCAATTTTTTTAAATACTGGGAAATATATCTTGTTTCATGTGGTTACAGGGTAAGTGGTGCTTGTATAATAAATAAAGGTTTCCGAGTCAGTGATATAAGATTGTGTGTATACATTTTTATTGTTACCCTGTAACTACACGGAACAAGAGGGTAACAAGCACCACTTTAATTTACGGCCCGCAATGTCACACTTAGGCTACCCTGTAACTACATGGAACAAGGGGGTAACAAGCTACATGAAACAAAAGTATCTTTCCACAATATTTAAGCAAAAGTTGCAATAGTCTTCGTTTTCAGTGCACTTTTGTTAAAAAGATTACATTTTAAAAATTACAGGGTACATCTATGCATTTATAAAGCCTATACAGTAGCCTACTGGTTCACCATTATTTCAAAAAGGTACGCAGTGTATGTTCTCGCTAAATTGATCCCAAATGTAAGATTGTTATGTCATAATAGTAGAATAAGTTACCCTTAGTTCTATAATACTTACAGTATAAATAATTTTTTAATTCTCCTGGTTGTTACCCCTTTATTCCCCAAACTTAAAATATTGTTCTCTTATACTTATATTGTAAGTACATTATAGGTACACTATAACCGAAGGTTACGCTGTAAAATTGCTTTAATTACGCAGTACTTTCCGGGCTGTAATCTAAAGCGTTACCCATGTGTTTTTATGGAAGCTTTTGTTTACGCAACAGAATAAAAAAAGATTAAAAAAGAAAAAAGAAATTTATCTCGCAATTCTGACTGTTTTCCCTTCAGAATTGCATGATATAAACTAACAATTCTGAGGGGAAAAGCAATTAGCCTACATTTTTCATTGTTGTAATGTAGGCTATTCTGTGGCGGAAACAAGCTTCCATAAAAACACATATTCATTCTTTCATTCGAACTAATTGCGCAGTGGGATCTTAAATAAGAGTGGGCCTATCCACTTAAAGTTAATTTTGATATTTTCACTTTTAAAATGTTCGTGTCTTCTTGATAGCCTAATTCAAGTTCTGTAATTCCAGGATGAATGTTTTAAACTGAGACAACGAACTAGCCTTTTCAGGATAAGTCGTTGTGGCTGCCTACGACTTATCTTTATAGACTATGGTACGAAAATAATTCAAATTTGTCAGGATAGACGGCTGAAATGTGTGCTTATAGGGGCTGTGAATTGTATAAATACATTTATAGTCAATAACTTAATTGTTAAAAAATGACTGTAGTTAATTCGTTGGAAAAAAAAATGTTCTATAGCCTAGGCTACTATTTGGTTTACAGTTTTTCTACATTGTCTAAATTTCTAGATTAAAATTTCAAATATTCTCCCTTGGTTTCACAGACACGTTTTAAACTAGTCCCAGACTAAAATGCACGTTTGAGCTGTTTTAACTGAACTTGTATTGACATATGACAATATGTCAGTGCCATTCATTGTTTTGTCTCAAGATGCACATCAGTAATGTTTTTGAAAGACACGTTTATAAAAGCTACTAAAATGTCCTAATTGAACTAATGCCTAATCTGGGTTTAGTCTAAGCCATGTCTGTGAAACCGCCCCTCTATGTTCTAATAGCTTATTCAAATAGGCCTATTTATAAATAAACTTTTAACAAATCGCATACTCTATAACAGGAATAAGACATTTAACGCATAGCACTGTTGTGAGTAACGGGCACTACAACATAAAGCACATATTTATTAAAAGTATGTAAATATCCAAAGAAGATTTCCCCATCACAGACATAAACAACCTCCTCCTCCCCGCCGTGCAGCGGCGCTGTCCTGCCGTGGATGAATGTGCGGCGGCTGCTCGGCCATGTTAAAGTGTGGAGGAACTGCAGCCCGCCATTGTGTGTCTGATCTGCAGCTGTAGCGAGAGAGAGAGAGAGCGAGCGAGCGAGAGAGACGGGCGCAAAGACTCTAAAAACACACGCATTTCCCGTTGACTTTAACCCGCAAACAAACGCGCAGTATAACACACAGGCTCCGGGGAGAGAGAAATGTCAGCCAGCAGCCTTCTGGAGCAGGTAAACAGAGGCACTTTGTGAACATTGAGCAGAAGTGGCGTCGAGGCGGGTTTTTTTCTCTCTCGCAGCGCGAGTTCAGGCCTGAGCTTCATATAAACCTTCATTTATTCTCCCTCTTTCCTCTCAAAACTCACTCCTTCATGAATCACCTGGACCCAATCCAGAGACCGAAAGGCCAAGCAAACAAAGGTAGGTGAAGTGCTGGCATTCCGTTTTTGCGCTGTAAAAAGAGTCTCGTGTTGGTGCTGCTGTTAGCAGGCCGTGTGTTCATACCAATTCCGCTATTAAATCAAGCGGCTAAACCTGCTTAAAACAATCCCACGTGGGATTAGAAGAGAAGTGGGTCTTATAGTAGAGGATCTGGCTGGTTTTAGTCTCACTGAACTGACAAGAGCTTGTGTTTATAGCCCACGCTAGTTAGCCGCCTAGCACAGGCGAATATGAGTGAGGCCGAGTGCAGCTGAACGCGTGACACACACTCAAGCAGCTGAACACCCACATACACTCTGCTTGAACACAGTTTTTAGGTGTTTACTTCAAATGTGGTGGTGTAAGTGTCCCACATACCCTTAGATCAGCATCTCTGTCAGTGGCCAAGTGGCGGGGGTTTAAACATGCTGCCGGGAGGAACCTGTTAAGGGGATTTTCAGCACCACATGAAGTGTAACGTTAGGCTATCAACCTTTTACAATCCAGTTACGTTTTGAATTAGAGCACATGACCACATGGATATGATGTGAGAGCTTTTAATCCTTTATTTTAGTCAATTTTCAATGTAAAAAGTACTGAGGATGTTTTGCATACAGTATTAGAAAAAAGTAGACTGCCAACAGACACAGTGACAAAACGGATGGGGAAATACTTAAACAGCCAGTATGATCTTAATAAAGTATGTACTATATACTGAATAGGCTAAGTTAAATGCTCTAGACATAAAGTTAAGTGCTATACATTTTCAGCAAGATGTAAATGACAGTTAAGACTACTACACTGTTATCATTTTGGCTGATACCGATAACCAATATATTGACGGATAGATCTAAATCCAAATTTTTATAATTTGAGAACCTGATTACAAAAACTAGTCTCACCATTAAAAGCCATGTCCCAAGCACACAATTATAATGTTCTTATTATAATTTTTAGGGATGCATCGATCCGATACTCAGTATCGGTATCGGCTCCGATACTGCCATTTTTGCCGGATCGGGTATCGGTCAGACGAGGCCGATCCAAATCCGATATTGTGCATATTATTCTGTGTTATTGTTAAGCCCCACAAAAGGCACAAAAACATTATAAAGCACCATAAAGTTTTCGTGCACTATCTTCTAAGTGTTCTGAAGCCATTATATAGTATAATGTGAGATATAAATGAATATTTAAGTCATTAAATTCAAGACCACGTAAACTTTTTCCCTCCGCTGCGGCTGTCAGTCATTCTCCATTCAGCATCAAACAGCGCGTCGCGTTCGGGTACAAGAGTCAACACGATGAAACTCTCCAAGATGATTCAATGTTACTATTATTATACTTGATCTGTAGATAAAGGTCTATGGTTTCGCATAAAACAACTTTATATTGCTGGACTTTATTGTTGTAACTAAATCATGTTACTTTCTACCGGGCGTCTGTTAGATCGCAACACTAAAGTAGAGTCAGAGCACTATATAGTTCTTCACGCGCACAGTAACTGAAATTTAAAACTGTTAAAAGAAAAGGCTCAATAAACGATTGCATAGATTAGATAGATACTGTGTACACTACGCATCAATATGTATTTCCTTTGTGCTTTGAACTTTTAAATGCGGACTCGACGCGCTGTGACTCCGTGTTGCTTCAAGCGCATCATTCTGCGCTCGGGATGCGCATAAGCGCTGTGTGCCGCACTGTATTGGAGTCTTTCATAATCATATCATACTACTTTTGCGCAATGAAAGATTATTAATAGCCTTTCTTGTTCTGTCCTATCTATCATATGTTGCTGCCTCATTAAACAGCTGTGCTATACATTTAAAACATGTCTCAATTTTATAGTAGCCTATATAGGCTATATATAATAATTTATCTTTTTGATTTTTGTTATCTTGTTTTTCATGAATGTATTTTACAACAATACAAAAACAACAATCCATTTGTAACGTTTGACCAGATTTAGTGTTACACTTATTGTCTCTTATTTGTTCCCCTAATTTTTTCACTAAATGTTCAGATTTTATACAATTATTGTGCACTCGTGATTTTTCTAGACTAAATTTTACTGCTGAATTATCCACTAATCTAGTTTATAATAGCATTTTTGTCACAGATTATGATCATATATTTTTTGGATTTGTTGTTTTTCTTTAAAATTAAGTTATCTGTATTAAGTAGATTGTGTGTTGAACTGATAATCACTCTTTTGTGTGTTAAACACAGAGTTATATAAATTTTACTTGATAAAAAAAAAACTGCACTGGTATCGGATTGGTATCGGTATCGGCCAATACTCAAAATTTTGGTATCGTATCGGATCGGTTTTGAAAAAGCGGTATCGTTGCATCCCTAATAATTTTATGTAGCCTATATGTCACTTCCGCTGCACATGTTGCACTTAACTGTTTCCTTTTTGAAGTGATTCCAATCATATTTCAAGCAATTAAAAAAACATCATGGGGAGCAGTGTGTATCTGAAGAGTCTCAGCTAAAGGAAATAATACCGGCTTATCTGCTTTAATATATCGGCAAATTTTTCTTATTGGGACGATAACAATAACATTAAAAATTAACATAGGCTAGGCTATATCACCAATAAAGATATGGTGGCCGATATATCTTAAATTAGTATAAAGATCAGATCGCTGGCTGGTTTCTGATGTTGAAATATAAATTTGGCTGTGATAAATAACCACCTGCATTTGATCTTTCTGACAGTATAGTAAAATGAAGTTTTCTGATATTTGCATTTGATGAGGATCTGTCTTTGCTTTGTGTCTCTAACTGTAAAGAGATATTGTCAGATTGTCATTTTCGTTAAAAATTAGGTAATGCTTTTTTATTCTAGCTATTTCTTTTCAGTTTGACAGTTAGTGTGATGAATCCACATGTTGAGTTCAGCAGCAGATGCATTGATCTGATGGTGCATTCAACTTTTATACATTAACGCCACCTCAAAGTCATAATTGAGTGGGTATAATCTCTGGGAGTTGGGGAGGGGGCATCAGTGAGAACCTAGACAATGGATGTAGCTGATGGTAAATCTGTTGATATGTATGTTTTATTTTTGTGCATTTACAATAAAACTAGCTAAGTTGCCTGTACAAAATTATTGTACAATTACATTAGAATATATATAATTCCGTTTATAGCACATTTAAAAATTTTATAAAAACAAAAATGCAAAACCCCACCTGATGTGCATTATATTCATGATTTTGTACAAGTAATGTTAGAAAGGCTTGCTTTTTTTGTGGAAAAGGTACTTTGTCATTTCGCTCTGACCAAAGTGATTTGAGCGCACCTGATTTTGTAATTGACTTCCCAACTTGTAAATACAAACTTCCCAGGAGGACTTGAATGCACTATGAATTTTGTTTCTTGGGAAGCACACAAGTTCCTAGATAAAATTTCCTTACTCTCCTTGCTTTGGCTTACACTTGTGTCCTTTTCATTAGGCTGCTGTAAAAAAAAGAAGAAATTGTGGATGCTCTAACTTTCTGTATCTTTTGCTTTCCAGTGCAAAACGGAGCTGTTACCCAAAAGGATACTTTGAACGATGATGAGTTCGAGCCTTACCTGAACGCTCAGCCCAGACAGGTAGGTCTTGTTTCAGAGCTAAACAAAAGAACCCATAGAGACAAAGAGCAGGGCTATTGTTTTTTGCTGCCTATTCTCTTGAGGGTTCGTTATGGCCTGTAATTGCATCCTGGTCTCTGTGCTTTGTTTTTGTTTTTTTATTGGGGTGTCACCATGGCACTCTACACTACGGCCAAAGACTGTACGAGTGTTGGTTAAAGAGGTGTGTGGACTTAGTCAAGTCATACATCATATTATTTACATAGGCAGATATTTAGTTGCAGCCTAAATCTTAGTGCACATTGACGAGTCAGGAAATTGTGCAAAATGCAGTACAACATCAAAGTGATGAAAGGTGATTAATGAATGAAATAATTATCAAGTATTATGTTAGTTCCTGTCCAGAGGTTCCAGACATTCTATAATAGAATTTCTTTCAAATGAAAAATTCCCTAATTTATCAATCCTTGCACTAATGTATGCTGAAATAGTGGGTTTTCTGGCAATGGATTTCTGTCTTCTCAGAAAAATGGGACCCAAATGAATAAAGGGTCTAGTATTCTCTGTCAAAGGAATGCTGGGATCTTTTGTAGGGAATCTGTGCCACTGTTGCTCTAACAAAGCTGATTGCTGGTGTTGAAAATATGAGCAGGCTGTGTGCCTGGAGGGGGTCTCGGTCCTTGACCAGTCCTAAATGATATTCTCAAAGCTCAACATTTTCAGAGACATGTTTTAATACAGATGTTAGTACAGTCTTATGTTATGGTTAGCAGAGCTCATTGATAAAAAAACGGCCTGATGACCCAAGGGCACTTCTTTTTTTTTATCATTCACATGTATTTTTATTGCAAAGCTAAACTCTTTTTTTTTCTTTTTTTTTTTTTTTTCTTTTTTCAGCTAAGTACATTTTATGTAGCTGTGTAGTGTGTACCAGATTAGTTTTTGTTGATATTGCAAGAATTAAATGATAGTAGTGTATATGCAAATCAGTTTGGGGATATAAGAATTAAAAAAAATTTAACTAACTTGCTAAGCCTGCATTTATGATTTAAAAATACAGTAGAAACATTAAAATTGTGAAATATGACAATTAAAACCTTCTTATTTAGTCATGTGATGGCAAAGCTTAATTTTCAGCATCATTTCTCCAGTCTTCAGTTTCACGTCTCACGTGGTCCTTCAGAAATAACCTGATTTGGTGCTCAAAAGCATTTCTTAACAATGTTGAAAAGTTGTTAAATTGAATGCATCTGATAAGTAAATGGTTTTTTTTTTTAAATCTACGATTGAAAAGTTTAGACATCTCTAATGAAGTGTAAATTAATTTATACATTTTAAATTAGGTTGGCCAGTGAAATTGACGAGGCAAGTAGTAATCAGTACAACTGGCCTGACTACAAGCAGAATAAATTCTTATTGTTATTTAAGCCTCTGTTAGCCTCACTTCCTTCATTTATTTTTATTAAGCTTAACTTTTTCAAACCAGCAGTAATGTTGGAATATTTGGATAACAATGACTTTAATGGTAGTACAGATAATTGAAATGGTAGAAAATAGTTCCTTTGCTGCTTTCACCCTAATGTCACTTGTTAATGTTTTGACTCCCCACTGCTTTTATATCATACTTGTTTGTATTTTCAGACTGTGCATCTGATGTTGATCAATATGAAGCTCATATATTTTCCTTGTTTTGCAGAGCAATGCCTATACGGCCATGTCCGACTCCTACATGCCAAGTTACTACAGCCCCTCAATAGGCTTCACCTATTCTCTGAATGAAGCAGCATGGTCTACAGGCGGTGATCCCCCGATGCCTTACCTGGCCTCTTATGGACAGCTTAGCAATGGGGAGCACCACTTTCTCCCAGATGCCATGTTTGGCCAGTCTGGGGCACTGGGGAGCAACCCTTTCCTGGGACAGCATGGCTTCAACTTCTTCCCCAGTGGGATTGACTTCCCTGCCTGGGGGAACAGCAGCTCTCAGGGACAGTCCACACAGAGCTCAGGTTACAGCAGCAGTTACGCCTATGCCCCTAGCACACTAGGAGGCGCAATGATCGACGGACAGTCTCCCTTTGCAGCGAATGAGCCGCTTAACAAGGCTGTGGGAATGAATAGCTTGGATCAGGGCATGGCGGGGCTTAAAATTGGGGCTGGGGACATGGCACCCAAAGTTGTTGGTTCTGGACTTCCTGGAGGGCCACTGAGTCAGGTGTCTGCAGCTCCCACCATGCCACCCGCCTCCATGGCTCCTGCAAAAGCTGCATCTTGGGCGGACATTGCCAGCAAGCCTGCCAAACCACAGCCTAAGCTGAAAACCAAGGGGGGACTTTGCGGGACAAATCTGCCACCACCTCCAATCAAACATAACATGGATATTGGGACTTGGGACAACAAGGGGACTATGCCTAAACCAGCAGCCCCACAACAGACTTCCCTGCCCACTAATGGACAGCCGCCCAATCAATCGTCTCCTCAACCGGGTGCTACTGCTGGCGGGGTGCCGCAGCTGCCCCTCAGCAATGGACAGCTAGGGCCTCCTACTGGTCAACTCGGTCAGCACCCTCTTCCTCCAGGTGGCCAGCCTGGTGCTGTCCCACCTCCACTATCCCAGGGCCCTCCCGCTCCCCAACCCTCCCAGCCGACCCGCTGGGTGCCTCCACGTAACCGTGCTAATGGCTTTGGGGACGCAGCGGGTGGACCTGGCCAATCCCCTCCAAATTCAGGAATGGGTGGCGTTGCTGTGCCAGCAGAGCCCCACCCAGTTCTGGAGAAACTGCGCATGGTGAACAACTACAATCCCAAGGACTTTGACTGGAACCCTAAGCACGGTCGTGTCTTCATCATCAAGAGCTACTCTGAGGACGACATCCATCGCTCCATTAAGTACAATATCTGGTGCAGCACAGAACACGGCAATAAGCGCCTGGACGCTGCGTACCGTTCGCTGGCCAACAAAGGGCCTCTCTACCTGCTCTTCAGCGTGAACGGCAGCGGGCACTTCTGTGGCGTGGCTGAGATGCGATCGCCCGTGGACTACAACACTTGTGCAGGTGTGTGGTCGCAGGACAAGTGGAAGGGCCGTTTCGATGTGCGTTGGATCTTTGTGAAGGACGTTCCCAACAGTCAACTGAGGCACATTCGTCTGGAAAACAATGAGAATAAGCCGGTGACCAACTCCCGTGACACACAGGAGGTTCCACTGGACAAGGCGCGTCAAGTGTTGAAGATCATCGCAAGTTACAAGCACACCACCTCCATTTTTGACGACTTCTCACACTACGAGAAACGTCAGGAAGAGGAGGAAAGTGTGAAAAAGGTAACCTGCCATGGCCTTGCTCCATCAGGAATATAAAGCCGATTATTTTTTTATCCAGTTCTTCACAAAGTTCTTTTGCTGATGTCAATTTCAAAATGTTAAATGTCAATTGTCCTTTTGATATTTTCCATCTAAACTCATACCTTTATGCTCTTAGAAATGGAGTTGTTTCTTTTATCCAATTCAGAAGAAGATTAAGATGGTTTCCTCTGTCACATATCCATTTACATAAGATATATAAATTTTAATGTCTTGAAAATGCAACCTCAAATGTGGCATGTTGCGACAGGTCATTGAAATGCAGATTTGTGGTTTGATGCAAAAATAAAACAAAGAGCTAGATTATAAGTAGAGGTCAACTTCATCGGTTTTACCAATATATCGGTACCAATAGTTGATTGGTGGAACTATCGTTATTGGCAAAAATCCACACCGATAGAAACTATCACTGGCTGAGTTGTTTACGTTAACACGTGAGGCTTCACGGAGAGCGCTGACACTTTGATTTAAAACATCGACAGCGAAACGGTATGAATACAGAACACTAAAGTACATTTAATTTGTAGTCAGTTAATTTGTTGACTAGATGCTGCATTAGCAGAGAAAGAAGTAGTATGTTTGCTGTCGAGGCTGAGAGGACTAACATTAGTAGTTGCTACCTCAAGCGATTTAAAGCAATGTGACAACACGCAAACCTGACCCAAATGTTTTGTTGCAATTGTTACCATCTATTTCCATTAGTTTATATCCAGCTGGTCACTTTTGTGCATTCATTAGCCGGCGAAGTTACATATTTAAAGCTAGTGACGTGATTGCTTTCTCAACATTGATGTGTTCATGCAGCCGACAGAAACAAACAAATCAGAAACGCATTCCATCTCCGTTCTTTTTTTATCACTGCAATACATATTGTTATTTTGATCATCATAATCAGGTGTTCTAAAATATAAGTAAATAAAGTGAGAGACTATACATGTAATAGGCCTACATTTATGTAATTTTAGTGCTCTGGCCTTGCAGATATTTAAATATGGCCATCCTTAAGCATGACTCTTTGGATTTATATGAAATGGTAACACTTTACAATAAGATTACATTTTTAGTATTAACTAAGGTTAATAAATGTTGTAGAAGTATTATTCATTGTTAGTTTGTTAATTTCAACATTTAGTAATACATTTTAAATTGAGTTTTAATTTGTATTTGATCTGTTATTAGCTTAATGTACTGAACTAACATGAATGATCAAGGTACAATGGTATTGCTAAAATATTAATACATTGCAGTAAAAATGTATATTGCATAATGCAGTTCATGAAAGCTACATCCTTGTTAACAAATGGGACTTGCAAAGTGTTACCTATGAGATGTACATATGTTTCTAGGTTATAGCTAAAGAAACACATATTTGACCTGTAATATTTTAATGTTTAAATTATATTTATGTAGAATTTCTACATTATATTCTGTAGGACTTCTCATTTTAATATTCATATTTATACATTTCATTTAGCACATTTCAGTTCAGCCCTGTTTTACTTGGTCTTTTTTACGTTTGTTTTTAATCCCGTATCCATTAAAAAAAATATAGGTTAAATCGGTTATCGGCATGTGCGGTTAAACCTAGTTATCGGTATCGGTAAAATCCACTATTGGTCGACCTCTAATTATAAGTATACATAAAACAATTGTTTCCCTCCCATCATTTGCAGTCAGAAAAAGGGAACAACCTCAGTGTTTGCGATGCGCAAAATATTAGAAACAATATATAAATATTGAATTGGGGTTGGGTGTTTATGAATGTATCTCTAAAGGGAACTGACTTTCCAGAAAAGTCTTGATAGCATTTTCTTTTCCTCTTACCTCCCATAATGCCTGTTTATAAGCGGTAACCAAGGAAATGCTATATTGCTACTGGTATATAAGCGCCACCTACTGTTTGAAAGTGAATTTGCATTTACAGTCTGTACTGTTTTTGGTTTGTGAAGTTGTCTTATGTAGCATTATTTAACATCTAAAGTCGGACCTTTCTGGTTTTGAAATTAAAAGTCAGTTTGACCTGTTATAGAGAAAATAAACAACAAACAAATTTGCTTAATGAAAATCGGCCTAGCCTATTTGCTTGTAAAAAAGAAAAACGATCGATGCTGTCATTCCAAACCCGGATGAATTTCTGCTGAACCGTTTTGTTCAATCAAAGGTTGAGGTTCAATCAGTGTATGGACAAATAGTTGAAATATTCTGTTTTGCAGAAGATAGTCATACTGGTTTGAAATTTATTTTGGGGTGAACTGTCTCTTTTAACTCATGCTGTGGCGCTCATGCAGTTTAAATCTTTAGAATTAAACCTTTTTTTTCTCTCAACTGAGTTTCTTGTTAGTGGAACAACGTTTTACCAGCTTGAATCCCTATAACCCCTCTTGTTTGACCAGAATGTTAGTATGTCAGATGACAAACTTTCGGTTAAGCCCACCTTAAAAACTCCCAACCACAGGTAGCACAGCTCTTGTAGTTACTGTGCATCACTGCAAGAGAACATCAAGTTACTTGAAAAACATTTTGCTGCCCATATTTCAGATCTGCATGTTTTTTTTTGCCACAATCAAAACAGTGTGAGACCATGTTTAAAGTGGCACATGAATACTAACGTGATGTATGGGTGTGATCACTTTTATTCTGTGTTTTATTTAATAATTTATTGATTCATGATTTTACTTTGCTGTCTCTGTTTAACGTATATTTTTGGCTTGGTGTTAGTTTGTGGTGACTGCGCTGACCAGCATTTATAGTTACCTGACAGCTCGTAATTGTTAAAACAAAAGCCCAGCCCAGATATCCACTGTTCTCTTTCATATGGTGTTTACACTTATGCTTTTTCTGCCACGTGTGCGTGGTGCTGTTGCATACGTAATTTTTAGAGAATTCATTTCTTTACCGGGGTTATATTATGGATGACATGAATTATGGCTCTAAGATCCAGAATAGAGTTCTTATTACAGTTCTTTTTGTATTGGTGGGCTGACATCACCAGTTTAGCTCACTGAATGTTGGTAGCAGTGCGATTATTCTGTTTGAATAGGATGCAATTGCTTTGTGAAGTATTTCTTACTGAAATACATTATAAAGATAACACCTTCAAGTGAAATATTATTTGCAATTACATCTTTCTTTACTTTTGTCTCTTTCTTTTTCCTTAGAGATGCTAGCACTGTGGTTCCCCCTTCACCTCCTTAAAATACATAGACTTGTTTGACATTGGGTTTATTCTGAAAAATGACAATGAAAATTCTACTTTCTTTCTAAGCCAATGTATACTACTTTTTTTTTTTTTTTTTTTTTTTTTTTTTTTTTTTTTTTTGGTCGTACGCTAGCTTAAACGGGTAGCCTTTTCAAAGTATACTCAATTTAATAGCATGAGGCGGGTCTTTGTTCAGTGTCTGCACTATTTTTCTCCTGAAGTTATGACCTATAAAAATGTTTGTTCTTTTAAACTAAAGTTGTGACTATCAAAACCCCCTCACACAAACTCTTGTCAATCAGGCGCCTGTTGTTGTGGCAATCTCTGGTATTTTGTTGTAGTTCTGTCTGTTAGTTTAGTTTTCTACTGTGAAACAATGGCCCGTTTAAGTGTTGCCACCTTGTGGAACAACTTAATGCAAAATAAATGAAATGCGCATGTGTAACCTGCGTGTACGAAGTACTATTTTCCAGACCCTCACATACGCGTAAAAAACGAAGTATGCTTTGGGCTTAAAAGAGCACCATTTTAGCGTTTGTCTTTCTGCACTCATCACTCCAGTAGAACGGCACAACAAGTTGTTAAAAGATTGCAATCTCTATTCAAATACTCTCATGCTGCTATTTAAAATGTTTCATTTGAAAGAATTTTTTTTTTTAATTGGTTTGAATAAATGATTCAATGACGCACTCATTCTTGTTTCAGTAATGGATGAATCAGTGTTTTTAAACGAATCTCTTGAATGAATGATTCAGTGACAAATAAATGTGTCACTTGTTGCCACTTAGTGGCGTAACAATGTAATGATACGATCGTTATTTAAAGTGCCACGTTACTTTCAAAAGGTGATCTGCTCTATTTTGATCGCTACCGTAGACATCAGTGTTTATAAATTAACTAAACTTTTATCCCAGTTCTGTGATCATTTTGATATTTGTAACAGAAGTATTGATACAGTGTGTTTGAAAAGACTGAAGCAGTTTCATACCTATACAACTGCTTTCTCTGGGTCAGTGGCAGAGCAAATGCAGATTTGAATGTTTCGGTGTGATTTGTAAAAGGTTTAATAGTTGTCATTAAGGAATGAGATTGCGTGGGTGTTTGAATCGAGATTGCGGTCTTTTAACGATTAATCGTTCAACTCTATTTTGAAAGTAACGTGCTGCTTCAAATAACAATTGCATCGATTACATCTTTACACCACCAGGTGGCGACAAGTGACTGTTAAAAAATGTCTGTCATTGAATCCATTCATTCAAGAGATTTTTATTTATTAATTTAGTAAATTCTTGTCCAGTGATGAGAAACTGGACATTTAAATTGTTTGGTCCAAAATGGTTGATCAATTAAAGAATGGTCATTGTCAAATTAATCAATATTTGGCCTGGTATACAAATATTGTTGTTCTCTGTAATTTGCATTTGAATGGTGTTATTTGGCATTCCAAAAGGATTTGACTAAACTATTTCTCTCTTGGGCAGGTGGAGGTTCAGGGGAGTGACCCGTACTCCAGTAACTCCAGTCGGAGCCACTACAGAATGCAGGTGATGCATCTTACAGATTCGCCACTCATTCATACTGTCCTCTATATGTCAGCATGCTTGTAAATTAGAGTTTATGTGAGCTTGTAAGTAATAGATTTAATCTGTTAGTTTTGGCAGCAGGCCCTGCCATTAGACATGTTTGTCAACTTGAAAGACTTTTTGGGCTTGTCAGTTGACGCATTAGTAAAAATATGCTCTGATAACATTGGTAAATGGTTTTATGCCATTAAATGTCATTTTATATAGTAACGCAGCCATTGTTAACATTGATGTTGATAATAATAATAATTGTTTCTTGAGCACCCAATCAGCATATTAGAATGATTTCTGAAGGATCATGTGACATTGAAGACTGGAGTAATGATGGTGAAAATTCAGCTTTGCCATCACATGAATTAAGAATTTTCAAAACATAAAAAAAAATATTACCGACCCCAAACTTTTCTAGTGTACTTTAAATTATAAATTTTTCTTACAGATCTAGTTTTAGACTTTTTGATGTAATTTTTCTAATAATGGTAGGGCTTGCTTAATTAAAAATATTGATTTCTCGATTTTAATTGATTCACATTTTGAAGAACTAATATTGATTCTTAAATCCCTTGAATCAATATTTTAGTCTATCCTATTTTCAGTTGATTAATGAATAAAGCTTTGTAGCGTACCTACCATCCAACAATCGCAATGAGTTGAGCTTTGTTACTTCTGATATGAAACGGTCTCAGCTTTTTAAATTCTTTTAAAGTCCCCCTGTAGTAAATTTTATCCCTTTAAACTCATCTTTGATCACCAAAATGACACATTTAAATGTTTTTGCCTTGAAAAAAAATTCTTCATGCCTTAAAGGTGAATTATGCAGGTTTTTTACCTCAACCGAACAGCTTCGCAGTCATTGGAATGGTTATATTACTCTTTTCGGGTTGAATGGTGGTCGTTTCGCACCCCCCAACGCATGTGAGCGGAAAAACACACTTGCAACTTTGAGCCGGCGTGTCGCGTGATATCAGGTCTCGCGATGTAACGAATTGCTTTACGGCAAAAAATGATCTGATAAAATTCTGATAAAATAAGCATCAAACAGAAATAACCCGGCGCCGTATACATGTGGTGTTCGAGGCGCACATACAATACTGACTGCCGACAGTTAAACAGGGCGCGCGCAGCTCTTAAAGGGGCCACACCTTATTTCAACTCGTTACAGCTTCCATCCTACTGAACAGGTACCGGTGTACAGGGGAGGGGATCAGGCCGTGAGTGCAGAGCCATCTCTACGTGAGTGCTATTTACGACAGTACAAGTCCTCCACTGTTTGACAAAAACGGAATTCCTGCATAGTGCACTTTTAAAATAGCTTGAATGTAACTACACCTTTGCCTCATTTAGTAGACGTAGTTCTATGAATATGCAAGTTAGCCCTGTCCCCACTCACACAGCTCAGAGGTCAAATCCTTCACAATCACACGTTGACGTGATTGGTTACAAAGGTAGTGTGTGATGTCAGAAATGGCAGCGATTTCGAACCGCTTTTTTTTTTTTTTTTTACTTTGATTCACTGTAGCTTTAAAGGTGCAGTGTGTGATTTTTAGTGGTATCTAGCAGTTCTGTTGCGAGTTGCACTAAGGGCGCAGCCCACTGCTCACCCCTCCCTTTCGAAGAAGCTACGGTGGCAAAACGGGAAAAACATATCGTCGTCTGAGACAGCAGAGAATAGCCAGAGTAAGCCAAGAGTGTGTAACATTGTCACTGTTCCTGTACCACAGTCCATTTATAAACCACATCATGGATAAAGTTTACAAAGCCATAGTCAGGTGAGGATCAAGGGTCTTAATATATAATATAATAATAGTAATCAGCTGATTCTCACAAACGTAACCAGCACATTTCTCCCCACATAGCAAACCCATAATACAGCGAGGGAGAAGAACCACATGAAACTATGCAACTATATATTTTTTCTAACAGGGTAGTAAGAGTTTAGCTGGCTAATATGAGCTGTTACTGTGGCTGAGCTGGTTAAAGCGTAAAGCATTGTTTAAACCTTTTTACAGTCTATGGTGTAAACTCGACGCGTCCGCATGAGCGCAAAGCTCAACAGAGCTTGTAACGGCGCGCGCAGCCGCGCGCCTCCGCATCCCCTAGACACCATTTACTACACGCAATAGGCTTTTTTTTCTCTGATTTTGGAAAACTCGATCGACTTAAAATGCTTCCAAGATCGACTTGTCAACCGCGATCGACGGGTTGGTGATTCCTGTTACTGTTTTACGGTCAATGACAAGAGTACTAATCAGCTGTCTCACGAACGTAACCAGCACATTTATCCCCACATAGCAAAACCATAACACAGCGAGGGAGAAGAACTAAGTTACATGAAACAATCCAACTACATATTTACACCACTGACAAGGGAAAAGTCACTACTCACGGTGTCTATGGCTAGCTTCTTCTAGCTTTCTGCGGCTTCTCTTTCAAGGTAGTGACGAAACGCAGTCTGTAGCGCTGTTTGTTCGCTGTCGGCTATACGGTAGAAACATGAAGTCACAATATGTCGACCTTCATAGAAGGGGGTGCCCGCGGTTATATAGATATAAATGTCTCATTCTAAGGTAATAAAACCATTACGGTTTATTAAGTAAGTTCTTTATACACCACTGAAAACATAGTAATGGATGTCATATTGCATTTCTGTTAATAGATACTCAAAATTATTACACATTGCACCTTTAAAGAGAAAATACTAAGCAATGGTGTTGACTTATGAATTTGCACATGGTTTTTCTTAAAGCATATTAAAAACACCACATAGACATATTAACAACATTAAAAGAAAGCTTCATTTTCACCACAGGGGGACTTTCACTTTATTACAAAATTCAAAAAATATTCACCATTTTGGCACTCTTTAAAGGCTAACTCTAACAAAAAGAGCCTATGTTCAATTTTGGCAAATATACCCGAGTCAAACTTTCATGTAAAAGCATAATTTGAATGGAAACGCTACTTTTAAGATTGACCGTGTTTTCGTTTTGGGTCAAATTGCCTTTTGAATGGGAGTGCATTGGGCACTTCTATGATAGCATCAAAATCACTTTTTTTTTAAAAAACTAAGGCTCGACAACATAAAACTGTGCTCGAAGTATCACCAGGGGCTCTACACATAAACTTGAGCATTGACTACATTGTTTGTGTACACAAAGTTTACTAAAAAGAAAGGTTTTGAACAACTCACTGTAGCTAGCGTTCTTCCCGGCCGTCGACATTTTGTCAGTCAAAAATAGTCGATCTGTATCACTGAATCATTTCATTATTATTATGAGGATCCTTTTTCAAATACAAGGTCAATATTGTTTTTTACTAACGACAAAACAACAAATTATCCGTGAATAGCTTTAGAAGCTTTCCATTTTTACTTTCCTTCCTGTTACGTTGCATTCGGAGATCGACTATTTTTGACTGACAAAATGCCAGCGGCCGGAAACACTAACTGATAAAGTGAGTCGTACAAAACCTTTCTTTTTAGTAAACTTCGTATACACAATGCTCAAGTTCATGTGTAGAGCCCCTGGTGATACTTATAGCGATTTTGATGCTGTCATAGAAGTGCCCAATGCACTCCCATTCAAAAGGCAATTTGACCTAAACCGAAAATACGGTCAATCTGAAAAAAGTGCCGTTTCCATTCTAATTATGCTTTTGCACGAAAGATTGACTCGGGTAGATTTGCCAAAATTTAACCTAGACTCTTTTTGTTAGAGTTACCCTTTAATGTGCCGTGACAAACCGCTGTAGTGCTTCAGTTCAAGCAAAAAGTGCACATGAACGGATCATCTCTTCCATTTTACTACTAGTTACAGCATGAAATAAACATCAGAAGGTATGTTGAAAGATACAGTACAATTTACCCATATCCGTATCATGTCTCGTGTAATTGCTCAATCAGTGTTTCAACCGTGGAAAGGCGTCAATAAAGCTGCTTGTAAACAATGTCAGGTAATTTTATTTACCTCAGAAAAGCCATCCAATGTCTATAAACTCGATAGTCAGCTAGAAAAATGAACTCTAGAGGAGCTTTTTATTAAATATATGCACTATATTGCATATTGTATTTTTACCTAACCTGTATTATAAATCTTCAGTATTAAATGTTTGAATAAATCGTCATCTTTTTATAAATGTTTATTTAAAAAAAAAAGAAGAGTAGAATTATTAACTTTATCATTCGAAAAACTTCCTTGTGTGTAATTTAAATGCAAGTACCCTACATATTACTTTTAACATTTAATATTTTAGTAATATTCCAACTGGGGTTCCTTGTTTAGTTGAGTTTTTATTTTTTATTTTTTTCCTGGAGGAAATTTGCAATGTACTGTACCTGATAGGCCCCAATTAATCTATATCGAATTGAATAGCAAGCTTGTGAATCAAAGTTGTATCGTGACATGTGTCAATGCCCAGCCCTATAAGAGTTTAAAATGTAATCTTTATAGAATTTGCTGTCAGTGACCTCAGCATCCATTGTTCACAGTTGTGTTTATTCTCTCTTCCAGGATCGTCAAGGACGTGTGAAGTAACAGACACCGCTTTGGGCAAAAGACTGACAGGCCCTATTTTCTCTCCCCAATCTTACCAGATATTTTCAGAAATTATTTTGGGGAAGATTTAACCAAGGATTCAAAAAGAGGAAAAAAAGAAACTCAATGAAGACTCTGATTTCTGTTGACCTAAAAGACTTACTTTGAACTTGTAGTAAAAGAAAATGACACGATTATTCATAGGACTACAACTTAATTCTATAGGATTCTAATAGTGAACCCAGTACTTCCCACTTTTTTTTTTGTCCCATTTTTGTTCTGCTGCCTCTTTTCTCCCAAAAAATTTTTTCATTGTTTTTACAGTCCAAGCACATGGCTTTGCTTCTCTTACAATCTTGAGGGTTTTCTTTTTCTTTTTTAAACAAACGGAGTTCTAGTGTTCTATTATGTCATTTCTCTGTTAACTCCTTCTCGTTATCGGAGCTGAAACCATCCAGTCAGGACGTGCAATGATCGTCGCCTTCTCAGTGGATGTTCCATTGTTGGTTAATTGGCCACTAGTCCAGTACAAGTCTCATTACCTTCTGAGAAAAAAAAAAAAAAAGTTTACTAAGATTATAAAATGGAAAAGTGTAATTAAAAAAGAAAATCTAATGAATGTTCAGGAATGTCCTGTTTTTTGTTTGTTTTTTTTGTAATAGAGGGTGTTTGGTTGGCAGGGGACGGTAAATGGACTAGCCAATTTGTTGAGTTAAGGCTTTTGCTCATTGGATCAGTTTTATAGTGTACAAAAGGGGGCCGTGTTTGAGAGTTGTCAGCTTATTTTCCATTTACTCCTTTTCTTCTGCAAGTTAAAGAAAAATTTGTTGCTATGGGCTGCTCTCCTCCCGTCTTTTTTTTTTTTGTTCTCGTCTTTCTCTTCAGTTTCTTAAGTCTGCATTGAGGTGGGCCTTGCACCCTCTCTTTCTCATAATCAGTTCATTAAAAATAAATGTGGTATACTCGGCAGAACTTGTGTGTTGCATTTTCCCCTTGTTTGACTAAGTACATCATCATGCACTAACCTATGTCCCAAACAGCCTGGTCCGCCCTCCACCCAGCACCCACACTCCTCTCCTACACTTGCTGCCTGCGCACTTCACCCCTTCTACTTTGTTCATGTCAGTGCATTAAACAACTGCGGAACTGCTGGCATTTAGCAGTGTCAGAATAAAGATGCTGCACAAAACTTCAAGTCTGTTTGCTTTCTGAAGAATTGAATTGATAGTATGATCAGAATTTGGTGTAATGCTACCTTGTGATGGCACACTGTATCCATGGCCATCTGCCTAATTGTCATTTGTCAAACACATTGTGTTTCTTTTCAGGAAGCAATGGCGGACCTTGAGTGTTTGCCACCTTAATGAATCAATAGTTGGGTTAAGTATTGTGAACATACTTTTTAACTTCATTTAAATGAATTCACCAATAACCTCTTAACTTGGTGGTTAAGTCAGGTCGCAAAGAAGAAAATGCTTGATTTGCAATTAAAAAGCTTTGGAGATGAGATTTCTCACAAGAGCAGAAAGGGTTTTTTTCTGTGGGTTGACCAGCTTTTCTCTTGATGTAATGAGAAATAGGCTACGATTTTTTTTATTTGTACTAATTGTCATTATATAACGAGAGTGATTGTATGGTTTTATCTGCGGTATTGCTTTACCTGTTTAATAGATAGACGCACATTCTTAATTGGCCTTTCGATGGCGCTGTTTACACGTCCAACCTGAACGTGGATGTTGTGCCTCGAGTGTGTAAACAAAGCTTGTATGTTTTAAATAATCGCTAAATTCTTGAATAATCATTTTCTGAAAATAGAGTACTCTTATTTAAGTTGCATGTCTGTAACGGGATGCACTGGGTATCCTTTTATAGCGCTAAAGCTGATGGGATTTGTGGTTGTAGCATCTCGTTACATCTGTATCCTAAAATCACAGTAGGCAGACGGGTAAATCCTAAAATGGCGGCACCATGTATAATTGAACGCTTGTCCAACAGAGGGCGGTACAACTTCATTTTTCATGTGCATCCCTAAACTGGTCTGAACGACCCTTTGAATAATAAGAAGTCGCACTTATGACATTAATTGTTAATTTGATGTTTCAAATAATGTCTTTATTTTATTCCCTTAGTCTGTGACTAGATCTAGGCCTACTTCTTTCAACAAAACATAACCTATATCACTTAACTCTTTAAAAGCATACTTCATAAAAAAAAAAAAATCTTATTGTTTTACCCTCATGTTCCAAACCTGTTTGACACTTCTTTTTTTTTTTTCTTGTGTGGAATATAAAAATTTGAGAAATATATCAGCTTTTTGTCTAATGATGAATGTCAGAGGTAAACAAAACTGTTTGGTTACCAACATTCTTCAAAACATTTTTTTTTTATGTGTGTTCAACAGAAGAAAGAAAACCGGTTTGATATTATATGAGGGTAAGAATGATGACAGAATTTTCATTTTCGGGGGAACTGTCCCTTTAAAAATCCCCAGAGTTTCTGAACAAATTCACATTATCAGAACAGATACATTTAATATTACAGATGCATGTAAAGAAAGACGCAGCATGTTTGTTTCTGTATTAGCATTTATTTCTGTCTAATCTGACCTTACAATCATAAGTCAAAGAATATCACATTGGCCTAAACACACTCACAATCAGCCCATATTTTGAAGGCTTTGTGGTTTGTATTGAATTTCAGTGTGCAACATCACCAAACCTTTCACTTTGTTTTATGAGGTTAAATTACCAGAGACATTTCACACTCAGTATGAGACAATTTAACTGTCCCAACGGTTTTGAGCTTGGGTAATTTGTCAAAGGCTGCAGCGCAGTGTCGGTGTGGTCACAGCCATCAATCAATTAAACCTTTAATTCGTGACAGCGCAGTAGAGCTCTGCCTTTTTAAGTGCAAAAACCAAATGTTTAGAAGAAGCCTTATGTGGGTCTGAATCAGTTTGGATATAATGTGTATGTTTGAGTCTTTAGTGCATTAAAAATATTAGCCTGCCTATTTGGGTACTGTGTGTGGGGGGGGGGTTTGGCTTTACTTGTGAGGGCCAAGTGTCCTCACTTAAATAGGCCTATTAGCCTTTCTATTTTGGTATACTTTTGTGTGTGTGTGTGTGTGTGTGTGTGTGTGTGTGTGTGTGTGTGTGTGTGTGTGTGTACAGGTTTGGCTATACTTGTGAGGGCCAAATGTCCTCACCTATATAGTGAAATATTATGACAACCATCTAGTGAGGACATTTTACTGGTCGTCACTTTAAAAATGTTTATAAATTGGCCAAAATGTATTTTTATTCATATGTTTTGCATGATTCTGTGATGGGTAGTTTTAAAGAGGTAGGAGTTGGGTTAGGCAATAAAAATATAATTAACATAATATATAATCAGAGGAAGTCTATGCAATGTCCTCACTAATATAGTGAAACAAATGTGTGTGACTGTGCACGGATGATATTGGGGGTGTTTTATGTATGAGGGGGAATAAGATGCAGCACATGGCTCAACCTCCCGTCTGTCTATATCATGCCGCCTGAGGGGCCCTTCTCTGACCTCGGCCTCTCTCTCCCCAGGGACCCCAAAACCTCTTGGGATCCCCAGACAACATAAAGGTGGGGAGGGGGTGGCACGTGTCTCTGAGACCGTTGATGCGGTGTGTTTCTGCTTAAGACAGATGCAGTCTAGTCTGTCCCTGTGTCTAACGTTCTCTGAAAATAAAGTCTGCTTAGCTTCTAAGCAAATCAAATAGTGGTCATCCCTGCTGATGTTTACATTATGATCTAGGTTACATTTTGTGTAATAAAAACTGTGGTGGGGGGGGGGGGGGGGGGGGGTGCCTTTGGTTCGAAGAAAATCACAACCTCGAAAATAATTTATTGGGAAAATTCTTAAACTTGTGGACAAAAAAACCTAATGTATATGTTTATCTTGCATAGTTTTGGATCAATCGCTATAACAGAGCAGGCCACAGGAAAGTCTGCAGAGATTTTCAGGCTTTTCGATCAAATCCGTGTAGCCGCTGATAACAGGCTGCACCTGAATAACAAAGAGATGCAGGCCTGAAGACAATCAGTCTCGGTTTTAAGAGCAATAGATGTTGTGAATTTCCGATTTGGGTTCTTCTTGTATCCCAGACAGTATTATCGCTTTTTATCCTGCTCCCGTAGCCGTCCGGATTGTGTGCGGGGTGCGGGGTGAGGGGCGGGGAGAAGCGCGCGCTGCGTTTATCAGTGTGCTGACAGTCGAGCAGCCGCATGCGTTCAGCGCATTATCAAGAGCGCGCGCGTGTATTTTTGCCATTAGTAACGCCTGGCCATGTCTGCAAAAGATGCAATTTACATAATAAAATCATTTCTGTACTACACTGACGGACCGATTTATTTCAAACGAATATGTATATGGAGGCCGAACGAAAATATGAAAGGGGCCATTTAAATGTCCTTTCAATTGCATAAAATATATTTAACACAAGTTCAAAATAAAACAGATAAATAACACGATTTTAATTTTAAAAAGAAAAACAATCTGAATTTAGGATAATTATTATCCTATGCAAAGCCGTGCACATTTAAAGTTGTCTGTTTGTCTAGATTTAAATAAGCTAATAAATGATCTCATAAACATCGGTCATGTTCATATGTTTTTAAATGACAAAGAAATTATCCAAATTAATTAATTCAATATATTCATGATTTGTAATTTGCTCTTAATTTTTTCGAAATTACGTTAAAATAGCCTAATCTGACGTAGGCCATATTTGTCATCTAGGCCTATCTGTTTTTCCCCTGTAGAGGATTTTGAAAGAATAGGACTAAAAAAACGAATAATAAAAATATATAGGCCTATATTATTTAATAAATACATTTTTTTTATATCTTTGATTGTATCTTTGTGCAGAGACCGAATATTGGACATAGCCTACTGATGTAGCATTTTATCGAAACGTTTTAATTCAAATGCTTCTTATATCAGAATTTGGCTAAATTATTCTTTGATCCAAAATAAAATTATTTTATTTATTTTACTTAGCCTATTCGATGTGGTCGTTAAGGTTTGTGGAATTCAAGAGTGACAGCTAACCTCAACATGATTAAAGTGCAAGTTAACGTTCCAACTCTCAACCTACGTTCATAACTGCAATATTAAAATATTTATATGATTTTAAATAAGAACATTTTTTTATAGGCCACTGATTTGCAAAAGCGTCTTTGGTAGTGATCGGGCAATTGTTCTTTATTTTAAGTCGTCAAGAGGTGAATGTGAAGTGTGGAAAAAAAAAATAGTGCGTCTTAAAGGTTTGTAAGTAGTAGCTTACGAGCTAAAACAAAATACTCTGTGTAAATGTATAAAGGCGTAAAATACAACACCAGCAACGTCACGTGCGGTCTGAATGACTGTCAGAGTGATTAATATTTGCTTTTATTGTCTTCACAGTTGTGTGTTCTTTCGACAGAATTCTAGCCTGAGGGGCAGAGCGTCATCCCAGACCCTGTTTGCCTTTCTTTTGTGAGTAAAATTAATCATTAGTCATAAATAAATACGTAAACTTTGACCCCTCTAAACATCTGCGCCACGTGCCAAGTGATTTATTAGCTTGAAGGGACATTATTTGAATGGCAGAAGCTTGACGGTGGGCCTCATATGTTGGTGTTTGTGCTGTACTCCTGTTTAATATCTGCTGTAGCAGGTTGCAACAAACCCTAATAATATCTTACTAAGGCTTTTCTTAACTTAAAGGGTTTGTTGCAACGGGCCTGATCTTACTCTAAATTCACTGCGTCACAGATTTGGACAATGCTGTCAGAAATGACAGAATCGTGAAATATGCTAGTATTTAAAAAAACAAATTGCACAAAATATATGGTTAAATTTAAAAAGCCCTTAATCCCATGCTCACTACACTGCATTTGCATATTGCACTCCAGTGCTTGTAATGATTGCTTGTGTTGTGAAATGTAGGTCATAACGCAACCTTTGCAGTTTTTGCCTTCGAGCCTTTTTCAGAGCATTGTCACTAAATATAATTTAATGGTTTGGGAAAGATACAGCCATGCTTTTCGTAAATGATTATATGCGTATTAGGCCCTGTGTTCATGTGTGGGGTTTATTTTTTCAATGTGATGAATATCCGTTGGTCTACTTAAGTGTTTGCGATGTATAAGGGGAGCTGCCTTCATGATATTGCTGTGATTCAGGTAGGGGATGGCAGTGGGATGATGCAGTGTATTATTTTATTGTGTACATATGATGTCTAATATGAAACCACAGTTGTAGTGACTGTACACAACATGACTCGGTCACGTTGATCGGTCGCTCAGATGAGTGCTGCTGTTGGCTTCTCTCTTGGCATTCACCGCGTGCCTTAATTGTATTGAAATTAAATCAAGGTCCACTGTGAACACAAAGAGCAAAAACCCAAGTTTCCGAACGTCGTCCACTTTGTCTTTTCGTACAAACTCTCTCTGTTCCTCTTCATCCCTGCAGTCTGGTCTGTACTCACGGCTAACGGTTCGGTCGTGCACTT